TCGTGTTCCTCGGGAAGCACGGAAGCAGCCGCTTCCATTCGGTCGCGACGTTTCACGCGCTATGCACGGGGAGCGAGCTTAACTGCCGCCTTCATTCCGTGAAATCGTTCGTGTCGCCGGTTGCCAGCGCTGTCGGTCATGAGAATGCGTCGTAATTCGCGGACAAAAGAAAAAAGAAAAAAAATGCTAGAAAAATAAGAAAAAAGACGAAAAAAAAATGGGGAACAGAGGAGAAAAAAGCGCACACGAACACCAGGAGCAGAACATTGAAACACGCGCGAAGGATAAAATGGGGGGAAAAAGGAAGAAAAAGAAAAAAGAGGAAAGAAGTGAATCGCGCTGTGAACGAAAGCGGAATAAACGAACGAACGGTCAGGCGTGACTGGAACGTAGACTAAATCGGACTATCTTTGTACATAAACGTAGTGAACAGAGACACGTTGTTTCCACGTTGACCTTCGTATACTTTCTTCCTTCCTGTTACGATTAACTAGCGGACTCTTCGATCGAGACCGGGCCGACAGATCGATCATGCGCGCGCGATTCCTGTCGAAAGGGGAGGAAGAACGGAGAAAAGGGTTCTTAACGAGGGGTCGTGAGGGATTGTAGGGCGTAGGAAAATGGCTGACACTCGGAAATCGGTCGTCTCCCGAGCGCGATTAATCGATTATGATTCGTATGAAAAGCACGAACGGGCGGGCAACAAAAGAAGGAGGGATAAAGAGGAGGAAGACGACGAATGGCAAGAAGAAAAATGAAAAAAAAAAATAGAAAAGAAAATAAGAGAAAGATCGAAACGAATATCGGAGAAATCGGCTTCTCCGTGCGATTTATACGAGAATTACCACGTTATTACCACGTATTGGTCATTTATTATTCTTGTTATTATTACGGATGATTATTATGATTATTACGGATTATTATGATTATTATGATGAATAACGGTAGCGTTTAAACGGTTTTAACTCTCAAACACTTTATTAAGATCTTTACCAATAATTAGCTAGCGGGCTGTCGCCGTCTAACTGTTACGTAAAATGACCAAAAAATTACTAAGTAACGTACTACCTATTAATCTATATAGAGTGATCTAGCGACCACGAGTTAAGGGGAAACAGTCTTTTTTAATGAGCTCTCTCTTTTTCTCTTTCTCTCTCTCCCCCCTCTCTCTCTCACACACACTCTCTCTCTCTCTCTCTCTCTCTCTCTCTCTCTGTCTTTTTCTATCTGTCTATTTCTATCTTCCTGTTTCTCTATTTCTCCTATTATCTATCATTGACAGGAGACACAAAAGATGGAGCAAGATAGCATTGTTCGTTGCTATTACTGTTTCTCGAAATTGTTACTATCATTCTTAATAAATCATTACACCCGTTTATCGAGTTCATGTAATCGTCGTCGTGTCGTCTTTGCGTCGGTGAATTGAACTGGCTGCGCCCGTGCCCGGCGCATGGCCGACTCGTACTACTGAAAACCGTGCTTCAGTACTTGTCTCGTTAGAATTGACAAATGAAGCGTACGCAAGTGGTTTTACTTAGTCTAAACGATCGTCGTTGATCATCGTTAGGCTCTAACAATTGAAATTTATTAATAGACGGTGCGTTGAACGTGTGGTGCATTGAAAGAGGTTTATACTGTCGCTCAATTGCTTACAACGAATCGATTTTATGAACTAGCCTCGTATTATTCATTCGTAAGCCACTTTCTGTCATGTTCGTTCTAACGTTTAACGATTATTAACGATTCCCTTACTCTCGTTTTTAGCGAAACAAAGGAAACGAAACGAGTCATCGCGACGCGTGACGATTCCGGATTATCGAGTTGCCAAATAAAATGAAGTCGAAAGACGTTCGCGTAGCAAAGACACGAAGGGAGATTAACCGAGTTTAATATTCTCTCGATCAACTCTCCCAGGATCCATCTTTTTCAACGAATAACGATCAACGTTACCGGCAGATTTTCTTTAACCAAATTTATCGAACTTTTCACATACTTCTGCGTACCTTGTTATCGACGTTCCTTAAAATTATCCAAGATGGTTTCGTTCCACCGCAGCTGCGTCGTTTTAATCAACGTTTATTCAGCGACCGGCATTTTTGTTCACGATCTGATTCCGACTACTTTCGTATAAATCCGTCGCGCGTGCCGTTGACGTTGCAATTGTACAGATTGATTGCGTAAGTCCATGGAGTTTCGTTCGCAGACAATCTGCACGGAACGTGGAGGTCGCTGAAACAAAGCGTAGAAAGGATCTCAGTTCCGCGACAGTTGTAAATTCAATTGGATGGAAAACACGTGAAGCTACCTTGTGAAATTCAATAACTACTCGCGGAACAATGTGTTATACGCTGGCTATGGCGCGTATGAATTTCGCAATATTGCGTGGAATAAAAGTTAAAACACGTTTCGCGTGTCTGAGAGAAAAATTTCGTGCAAACCCCCGATAACTAATCTAGAGAAATTAAATATATTTTTTATTTTCTTCGCAGCAGCATCTTAGTCGTAAAGGAAACACTGTAACATAAAAAGAAATTATTGAAAAATAATGTTCGACGTAAGAATAAAGAAATTTCAAGTTCACGTTTTACATGGGATAAAAGGAAACGAAATAAAATGTTTATTCGTCCGATCTTTTATTCGGTCATTCTTTTCACGCTAGGTAACGCGCGAAGGGTTATCCTGCGTCGTTCTTACGGTTTCCGATCTTACGAACGGGGGAGCTTTTCATAGCAGTACACCCATGAGCAAGCTGCATCTTCTGTGTGTCCTTTCAGTGTGACAGCAGCCCATCGGAAAAGGTCTAGATTACGAAAGAACCCCACAGGGTGTCACGTTAGCACTTGTACATTGCTGGGCGATGGCTGGCGATGAAAAAGCATGTGTGATGCTTGCTCAACCGCGAAAAATTGTAAATCTTTGGGTCGTTCATTTCCCAAATGTTCGATGCGTGCACCGAGTTTAGAGGAGCTGAGAGGAATTTATATTTCTTGCTAATTTTTCTATCGAAAACTGTTCACAATAGCGTTGTTAATTGAAATTTTTCGATTGTAAAAAGAAAAAAAGAAAAAAAATAATTATAAAAAAAGAACAATCGACAGGAGAATAAAGCGGAGCTAGATAGAAACATTTTAGAAGAGAATAAATTAGCGACGATAATTGAAAGGGCCAGCGAGTTTGTAGCCAAATATAATTATAATATCGTTTATCGCGTGAATGAGGATCGATTAAGAATTTAATAAAGAACCGCACCCTGAACAGAAATTCTAGGCTTTCCTTTCGAGTTTCTTTATCCACGGTTCGATTTTCCATTGTGTTTCATAGGATTCTTTGTACCTAGTACTATGACTGAGTAAACTTTAGAAGCTTTACCATTGGAAAATGGACGATTCACACATAGAATGTACACTGTGGTGAATGAAACGAGATCGATTGAACGAGAAAAAAGAAATATAAACGGTACCTCTGTATTCCATAGGCGTGAAGCGTGCAATGATGCAGAGTAATTTCGACGAAAATTGTATCGGTGATCCGAGAGGTAAATCGGGAAGATCACGAAGATCGAAACGTTTCAATTTTGCAGTGATTTTTACATTTACGCGATGTTTACGCAAATATCGTGATTCACGTGAAACGAGTTTACGTTGCAATCTTGCACCGGAATTGTAAAACTGACCGACGTAAATTTGATTTAATCGCACCACGTAACTGTGGAAATTGCTATCGCCGCGTATAACGATAAAACTTGTCCGTTTTTACTTGATAAAGACAATTTTCATAGTAAATTATTACGCTTCGTTGACTATAAATCTGCCGCGTATCTAAATATCTATAATTCATCCCTCCGATCACCGATTCAATGAACGCGGATGATAGCGTTCATCCCCGTCCGGTAGAGGGTATCATCGTCGTCGGATGAGACTAAAAACGCAGAAGGAATTTCTAATTTTATCAAATCGGGGGAAATTCGCGATGCGGTCGTGAATATTGTGTCGAGGCGAAAACGGATGGACGCTATCGTCGCGCGGCGATTAAATTAAAAAAGAAAAAAAAAAAATACAATTCCCACGCAACGAATCTTGAAAGTAGTCAATATCTAATCAATTCCGAAGATACCGTAGCGGTAGACGATTTAAGAAAACAAGAAAAATAAAAACCGAAAAAAAAGATGACGAAAAGTAAAAGGGAGGAGAGCCAGTGTAAACGAGTAATGCCAATATCGTTGAATGAATAAAGAAACGAGGCAGACGAAACACTTGTAAAGTGAACGATGTTGAAGCGAATGATGAAGAATCTTCCATTAGATCGAATATCATTTTGCAACATCGATTGTAAAACTAAAACATAGAACAAACCGGTGTTGTTATTCCGAAACATACGAGTGGCGATTAAAACGATGCGAGGTGTATATATATATACGTATTATTATATAATTATATATAGCGATGAGAAGACAAACAAAACAAAAAAAATGTAGCACATATTTTTAAAGAGAAAAAGAGGAAATGAAGAAAAACCGTGTTTGAGAAGCGAAACGTGGAGCGGACACGCGCGCGCGCGGTGCTAATCACGGCACTAATAAGTTAATGAGAGAGAAAGAATAAACCGATGAATTTCGATGATCCTTGTTAATCATAGGCGAATTAATTAATATCAAGCGAAGCACCAGTCGATAAATCTTTAATCGTAGCGTGTATCTCCGAGGAACGCTGCTAAGGAACAAAAAAAAAAAAAGAACTAAAACGATCTTCGATCCTTTACGAAGAGATAGAGGAGTATGATGACTAACAATGTTTATGAACCAATGCATTTTCATGCCGAAAAACAAATAAAATTTGCAAGTCGAATATGGATGTCTTTTACTTCGACGCACCCTATACCTTCCCTGAAGAAAACCGTAAGAGGTGAAGACTGATTCACGTAAAAATGGAGGATAGTATTCCAAAATGTACGTATATTTTAATCAATAAACAATTTACCAAAAATAGACGCCAATACTGTTGCAGCACTTGGGATGATTTAACAAATGTTCAATGCGTCGATGTCACATGTTTATTTTTCATCTCGAGATAGAAATGCAATACTCTACCATTTTTCAACTGTATCATTCACAACATATGTACGATACACGATCAGAGTTCAAACATCCATAGGATTCGAACATTGGTGATATTTTGCGCGTACAAGTGATACACTTACATATCTTCGTTCCTATAGATTACTATATGGAATTATGTAAGATTAGGAAGAGTTAGTATGTAAATAAAAATATATATCTTCTTTTATCAAAGAAATACTACAAACGCGAATATACACAATTACGGTTACACGATTACGGATTTCATACAGATTTTGTACAGGGCGTTAACAGTACGCTTCTTTTATACAACGGTATCGAAGACACAAAGTGGTAGATGGGTCTTCGGTTCTTGTCAGTCGGAAGTTATATTCTCCAAATGAGAAGTTTGTGGCGCTTCTTTGTTTACAGTCCTTTGTTCTGGTACGTGTGCCAACTTGGCGGTATCCGTTTTATTGTTTAAAACGTCTGCACCTTTCGACCAAGAGCAGCTTCTTCTGCCAGGAGACTTAGGCATCGACCAGGTACTGCTACGGGATCTCCTCTTAGGCGACATGCTGCGAGATTTAGCCCTCGTGATTTTTACCTTTGATATTGATCTTTCTCTCCTGCGTCTGTAGCGCTGTTTGCTATTGTTCCACGAGTTGGAACGACTCTTTGAACGAGATTTCTTCTTCGACCTCGATCGTCGAGATCGAGACCTTCCCCTTGTCGCAGATTTCGATCTCGATTTTGATCTCGATTTTGATCTCGATTTTGATCTCGATTTTGATCTCGATTTTGATCTTGCTCGTCGTTTCCTCGAACGAGATCTACTCTTGCTTCGTCTCCTACTTCGGGATCTCGATCCGGTTCTTAATTTTGATCTGGATCGCGAGTTCGATCTCGACTTACCTCGCGATTTAGATTTCGATTTTGAACGGGATCTGGACCTCGATCTCGATCTCGATCTCGTCCTCGACCTAGATCTTGACCTCGATCTCGATCTCGACCTTGACCTTGATCTTGATCTCGATCTTGATCTAGAGCTGCTGAACGACCCCTTGCGACTACGTGACCGTGAGCTTCTGTAGTCGAAAGAATGATAATCCTGACCTACTAAATGAGCAAAGTACTTGTAGTACTGCTCGTTATACAAATGAGGGTTGAATGTGTGCAATGCGCGAGGATTTCCAGCATTGCGCCACGAAAATCCTCTAGCCCTTCCTCGTAGAAAACGACTACCCCTAGGCATACCTCTTGGTAAACTGGGGTAAATCATGGGCAGAGCTGCATCGTAATACCATGGTTGCGGAAAACGTGGATAAAGAGTCGGATAAGAAAGAGATTCCAATGGTGGAGGTGCTAAAAAGCAGAATGCAATTAAAAAGAATATTTTTCGTATTTACATTGAATTTTACTATTATTTATACCTACCTGTTGACGATGATGGATACGTAACATTTTGTTTTAAAACACTTTTCAATTTTTTCGTTTGATCTTCTGCACTTGATTCTTCGCTCACTGTAGCTGAATTTTCAGAGTCCTTACCTTTTTTACGTTTCTTCTGGAAAAAATTAAAACGTTTTATACAATTGAAAACACGGAAAGAAGAAATTCATAAACAATATAAAAAGATAAACGTATTACCTTTTTCTTTTTTTCTTTCCTAGCTTTCTTCTTCTTCGACTTTTTTATTTTCTTGTCCTTTTTTCCATCCTTCAAATCTTCTCCTGAACTCAATATCTCGATAGCACCATCTGCTTTATTACTCTTTTTCTCTTCTCTTTTCGTATCCGCGTTTGTTACTTCGTCTAATTTAATTTCATTGTTTTCCACTTTTATCTTGACATGGAAAATGAACTTTAGTAGATCTTACTACATGAAGAAATAACGAATACTTTGTTCAATTTTACCTTTATCCTGTCGAATAATTCATCTAATAAACGAATACTTTCGAGCTGCCTTTGTGCTTTTATTAATTTTTGTCCTTCTCTCGCAATTTTCATAGACACTTTATCTTCTTCCTTCTTCCGAAATATAGTTATAGCTTTACGCTTGCGTTTTTCTTCTCGTTTTTTCCGTCTGTTTTCTTTAGCTATTGTATCAGCTTCTTCTTTCTTCCTAGAGAAAATGGCGTATGAAACATTACACGCACTTGAAATTACGTCTACAACTATAAATGTTACTGCCAATTACTTTAATTCTTCGCGACGTTTCTCTTCAGCTTCTTCTTTCCTACGAAGTCGTTCGGCTGCTAATGTATCCTGTGCTATAAGGCGTTTTCTTTCAAACTCTCTATGTGCAACAGAACTATCACTCATGTGTTTCGTTTTATCAAATGTGATCTACGTAAAATAATTGAAGTGGAATATATTCTTTATTTCAATGTTACAATGTATACGATTTATGCATAAAATATCACAAACACACCTTAATAGCAGCTGTGAATGCTTTTTCTCCTTCTTTTTTAAGAAGCTTCATACCACGCAATGCATCCATGGCTCTAACAAAATCCATATATTCAACATACTGAATATATGCATCAAAAAATATGCCATCTTCGTAACTAAATTTATTTATGTTTGTGCCAAGACGCATTCTAGATCTATAAGGATCGGCAGCAGGTACATCGATTCTTCTAAGTATGCCCCATTTCTTAAAAATTTTATTCATCAAGGATTCACTAGGCATAATTGCACCATCTTCGGTAAACCATTTAACAGGAAACCCTGTTATGTGTATAGTGTCAGGCCTTTCTCCAGGCTTTAATTCGTTCATATGTTTGGCATCTCTGAAGTAAGAGTCCCAACTATGCCTTGTAGGAAAATCATCCTTTGCTTCTGCTGCACGGACTTTTAATACATTGGGAAATCCAGACAAGTTCAAACGCTGGGAGTCCAGTCTTGCAAGTACACGCTGCAATCTGCATCTGTCTTGCAAGTCTCCTTCCAATCTGATAAATTCCAATGTACTCTTGGCTACCTTCAGAGATGCAAACTCGTCCGGTAATATAAGGGCACGTATCTTCTCCATTACTTCCCATGTTGATATTGTTTTTCCTGTTCATATCGCAGTTAATTTTCTGTAAAAACCTACTATGCTAAAAATATTGCATGTAATTATAGATTTGCACAAAATTTAAAACAATAACGTTGTTTCCTGTTACAAAAATGAATATCATTAATCAATGCATTTGTGAAATTCATCTTATAAACCTATGAAAATCATAACATTTAGAATATATAATCATATTCACAATGATACAAGCAATGGTAACTTATACGCACAAACAATCATTCGATAAAGGTCTTGACGAAACAGGTTACAAGGTAAGGAATAAAGGAGTAATTAAATGAATTGGAATCAAATAAAAATGTGATTTTCTCCAGTAAATGAAAATATAAAGAAGGATAAAATACGTAATCATTCATAAGCACTTTACCTGGAACTTTCAGTTGAGGAAGGTTAACAGAAACATTTATCTTTGCAACTGGTTTTAAGTACAGCGCGCGTGGTGTATATAGAGGCACAATGTCGCTCAGATCCCTACAGCTTCGAAATTGGTTAACAACCTCACTACTGGTATTTTCACCTACCTTCTTACTATCGCTCATCATTAATCTAATGTACTTTTTATACCGTACAGAAAGCGATATAAAATTGTGACAAGGGAAAGCTACGATTATTGTTATATATCTATCTTACGATAAAATAAACCCAGTGAGATGAAAATCATTCAGTAGAGAGGTTGTATATCCATTCGAAACAATTAGAAATCCTCCTCGGACCCGAAAAATTCTCCTTCTTCATTTCACCATTTAATATCGTTTCGTTCACCGCGACTCGATTCACTCTCACCAATTTACTTTTCGTTTACCGATTAAACTTCATTTACGAGAACGAAATTACTTCATCTTTCACGTTCTATCAAGCTTCACCGATCGAACACTACCAATACGAAGAGAACTCCACAATGCATCATGCGACAGTACATTTGCGGTCGAGTCCAAAATCGTTGTATGTGCTTCATGCGTGTGCGGAGGGGATCTAGGGAATTCCGGTTTACCAAAGAACAAAACTAGTCATCCGATTGGATGTTTCACGAGCGAAATACATCAAGCGCCATTTGTTTGGACGCTTAATTTTCGGTCAGTTGCATTCGGAAAGTGCGGCGAGTGGTTGTGAGATTGGAGGGAAAAGTGACGCGCGATTTATTCGCGAAAAGCACGCGGATGTGATTATGCAAAAGAATAAATCGCAATACGGAAAACGGTAGGACCACGATGCGTGAAAAATTGTGTACGCTGAATTATCATCGTAAGTCGAACAATCGCCTGTCGTGTACGTAAGACTCGCGTTATTTACGGTCGCGGAACTTCAGAGATCGATTGTTAATTTACGAGAGGAACGAAAACGAAAGGCAGTACGATGTCTTTGAGTGCGAGTGCAGAAAATTTATCATCGGAAGGGCAAGTAAGTGAACCATACTAATTACTACGCTTTTTCATGCGTGACTCATATCATTCTATCATTGCACTACTGTACATGATTAGATCGTTTTCATTTGCTTTATATTTTATTATTTACCGATTCTATATAATTTCTTAAAAATATGCGTAAAAAAGAAAGAAGTGTCCTATGATAGAAATAAGAAAATATTAGACATTATATATACATCTTTTCATCCAACTTGTAATACGTGTATACGTTTAGTTATCAATTAATGCATTAATTATTTTTAAGGGTACATACATTTTTACAAATTTATTATTCATTTTAAATTATTGATGAAAAGCACTGTGAATTGTTAGCATGAGCATAATGTCTGCAATCAATTTATTGCAGTTGTATGTCCTGCCACTCCCATGATCATTCCAATACCCTTTCCACAGATTTTTTCTTTTTCTTTTTTTTTTTCCTTTTTGTTCTTTTTTATGTGAAACCATATTGTATTTATGTATTAGATATTTTGTAGTTACCTTTCTTATTGAGTTGATATGCGATTCTAATATATTTTATTGAATGAGAACATAATTTAAGTGAATGATAAAGAAGTATGTGATGGATGAAACTTCTTACATTTGACAGAATAGTGAAAGGTGGAACATGTGCCTTGAATTGGCGCTCGAGGGTGAGCGTCTGTGTAAGACTGGAGATTGCAAATCTGGGGTAGCATTTTTTCAAGCTGCAATTCAAGCTGGCACAGATGACTTACGGATCTTAAGTGCAATTTACAGCCAATTAGGAAATGCTTATTTTTATCTTGGAGATTATGTGAAAGCAATGCAGTATCACAAATTGGATTTGACACTTGCACGTAAAATGCGGGACAAGTTGGGAGAAGCTAAATCTAGTGGAAATTTGGGAAATACATTGAAAGTTATGGGAAAATTTGATGAGGCTATGATTTGTTGCAAAAGACACCTGGAAATTTCAAGAGAAATTGGAGACAAGGTGTGTGTATGGTCAAGGAATCATTTCTGGTTGCTGCTTGTGATATAATTCAATTATTAAACAGGAAAAATTTTTTTACATAGCTCAGTGAAGGGAGAGCTTTGTACAATTTAGGGAATGTTTATCATGCTAAAGGTAAACAAGCTGGTAGAGTAGGTCATCAAGATCCTGGAGAATTTTCAGAGGATGTCAGACAGTGCTTACAACAAGCTGTACACTATTACGAGTAAGGAGGATCAATGATAAATATCTTCATGGTTGAACATGACTATCTACGTATAAGTCATATGAATTTCTTTGCAGAGAAAATTTAGAATTGATGAAGGAATTGGAAGATTCTGCTGCTCAAGGTAGAGCTTGTGGAAATTTAGGAAATACATTTTACTTGCTTGGTGATTTTCAACAAGCAATTTATTATCATAATGAAAGATTGAAAATTGCCAGGGAATTTGGTGATAAAGCTGCTGAAAGAAGAGCAAACAGTAACTTAGGAAATTCACATATATTCCTTGGTGAATTTGAGAAAGCTGCACAACATTACAAGTATGCATTGATATTATACTTTACTTTTCAATCAATAAATTAATATGTAAATAAACATCACTTTAGGAGAACTCTAGTCCTTGCACAAGAGTTGGGAGATAGAGAAGTAGAAGCACAAGCATGTTATTCCCTAGGAAATACATATACTCTACTCAGAGACTATCCAACTGCGATAGAATATCATTTGTGGCACCTTGAAATAGCACAACAGCTTAAGGATCGAGTAGGTGAAGGCCGTGCTTGCTGGTCTCTGGGAAATGCATATGCTGCAATGGGTAATCATGAAAAAGCACTACATTATGCAAATCTACACTTGAACATTTCAAAAGAGTTAGAAGATCCTATGGGACAAGCCACTGCACAAATGAATGTTGATGATTTGCAAAAAATTCTGGGTTTGGAAAAGGGACAGCAAGAGAATAATAAAGAAAATATTGCACAAAAATTGTCGACTAATACAGGCTCAAATGTTAATATATCTTCACCGTGTAGATATAGACTTAGACGACAAAGCATGGATAATTTGGATCTCATTAAAGTAATTTAATTATTTAACTCGGTTTCATTCTATACGTTACAATATCGAAACGCAAGTCGTTAACGAAATTATTACTTTATTTAGCTTACACCGGATGCAAAGTTAAAGGAGCAAGCTGAATCTCAAACAGATAAAAGTAATAACACGACACCACAACTTACTCAAAAGGAAGAAGATAGTTTCTTTGATCTCCTGTCGCGTTTTCAATCTGGTAGAATGGACGACCAACGTTGTGCGTTAAATATAAATTGTAATCAGAAGTTTAGAACATTAACGCCCGAAGTGTGCGAGTCGGACGACAAGTACGTATTTTTATCTAAAGACATTGCTTTATGTAATAGGTAACATGTGTTAAAATAAATTACTTTTATTTTTAGAGATGGAGAAGACTTGTTGGAACTGATTGCTGGAATGCAAAGTAAAAGAATGGACGAGCAACGAGTGACGCTGCCTTACTTACCCGGCCTAAACAGTAATCAAGACTCCGATGATTCCTTTATCGAAATGCTAGTTAGGTGCCAGGTATTTATCACGCTTTTTTATATATTTTTTCATTTACGAAAATATATCATATATTAAGTGTTAAATATTAAATAAATCGTGTATATAGGGTTCGCGTTTAGAAGATCAGCGAAGTCCTTTACCAGCGGCATCAACTGTGCACGATGCAGAAGAGGAACATAGCCAAAGATCTAATGGGGCTACTCAAGCAGGATCAACAGTTCCTGAGGAGGATCTTTTTGCTTTAATACAAAGACTTCAAGCGGGTCGAATGGAAGATCAAAGAGCTTCTGGTCCTGGGAAAACCTGTTAAAGCATTAATTGTGGGAAGTTTTATGCTAATGAACCTGCTTGAAATTCTGTAGCTCGTTCCACGCGATTCCCCATTATCTTCTTTTATGATTTATAAAACATTCAGTGCTTAATTTGTGCATTCCGCTTACAGCCTATGAAATCACAACTATGATTCAGACTTTAGGAAACTGCAAGGTACTATTATACCGTCCACTGACATTGGTTCCCCACTTTATATTTAGAACACCGTGACAGTTCTGCATTGTTGCGGTCATATCATGCTAATTTTATTAAGCTTATGAAAAAGCCTAACCCACTTTTCTACCTACTTGAGTATCCGTAATATGGTGCCAAATTCTGTAGATACGAGCCTATGTTATTCATGCAACTAATCAGATAATGTTGCATGACGTTAAATAGAGAATAATTTTGTATTAATATTCCCGAAGTACAAAATTATTTGTTTTATAGTGGTAATTAGTGAAGGATTAAATGATTCACGATACAAAAAATTGATAATGTTATAAACACTGCCAGGTTGGGAGTTCGAGTCATACAAACATTTCTTCAAGGAATTTAAAATGTTACATCATGAGCACGGAACAGTAAAAAGATTTATCAATCCTGGCATTATTTTTTGCATATGGTACTGTATGATTTAGTGACCGATTATTTTTGTGAATCGCGAAATAGTACGTGATGAAATTGGTGCCAAATGAAATCGATCTGTTGGAATCTAAATATAGAGTATTAAAAATGGCGGAGAAATTGTTGGTCCTTGATGTTCGTCTATTTTTCCGTATTAACTGTTTTCTCTGTTACACGTTGATAAGTGTACGTGAATTGATCCACGTAATACGTACAATTACAATAATTTATGATCAACGTTACCACTTCTATCGATTACCGTGTTGTAATCAACTTCCGTCGTTCATGTATTTTGCACATTCCAAATAGATGGAGTGTTGATAGTATATTTGTGGATAGACTGGATCGACCATAATCGCGATATCATCTTTAATTCCAATAGTACCTAACTAAAACTCCTATAATAATATCGATATTCCAAAGCTCTAAAACTTTCAGACAAACTTAATTATACATAAGAGAATTCGATTTATAGGGATTCTTCCACTTACGATTTGATACAAACCACTGTATCATCTGATCTCCTTGTGTTCTAAGAACTTTAAAAAGACAAAAGTAGTTGGATAACACGTTCATTGGAAAAGGAACATATTCAACATTCCATTAAATAATCCATTGTATTTATAACCCTTAAAGATATCTTACCGATAAATAACTTAAATTAATATAAAATTCTACGTGCGTTGTTTATCACTGAGAACGCGATAAGACGATTATTAGGAGGGAAACGCTTCGGTGAGGAATCTTTAAACGAAAAAGAAAAGAATGGAACAATGCCTTAATAAGTTTATGCAATTCTATCGACCTATGATGTGTGTGTATGTGCATTTCGAGGCTAAAATGTTTCATGCCTACTTATTATTATACATATGTACTAAAACCTAAAACTAACTATAAAACCGACTATAAAACTAAACCGAGCCTGATCAAGCGACTATAAAACTATGTTCGAGTATTGTTGGGGGAAAAGACAATTAGTGTGTCGTGAAAGGAAAAGGCGCGAGCTAATTGTAATTCCTATATGTACGAATTATAGTATTATTTTTCTTGTTGTTAAGGAATTTATGTAACTATGTGAACCTAAAACGAAAAGCGAGTTAAAAAAAAAAAAAAACCTTCGTTGTAATGGTGTAAATGTACAATCTCATTGTTCATCGCTGTCGTCGCTAAACAGGTGTATCAATTGAAAAGAAGTATTGATTCGTTATTGAGTTTATATAATAACGAGAGATCGATAATACTATTTTTTGTAGAGGTTACATTTGTACTACATTCTATATCTTTAATACATGTTTAATTTCATAAGGTTCGCGATGGCGTCATAGCGGACTAGGTACTAACGAGATACTATAGTTTCTTTAAATTGTAATATTTTTTATGGAGTCTGTTTTTAACATAGATTCACATCTCATCTTCATATAGTTATGTATAATACAGAGATTCAATAAATATATATATACTTTTTCCACAAATCCTCTTATTTCATTAACATTCGTCTCCCACGAACCTTTACCTTTATCTTTTAGCACGAGTACGATCGTCTTTTGCTGGAGGAACAAATTTTCAAGCATGTCTGTGATGTCTAGAAAAGTCTCAGAGTCCGTATTTGACGTTTCTTCTACGGACGACTCCACGTTATGGTCGGAATGGTCCGATACGGCATTAAATAAGGAAAACTGGGCGAATCCTAAAAGTAATCGGTAAAAACACATTTCTCTTCCCTAACTTTATTCCTCGTATCGATCCCAGACGGGCCAGACGGATTATTCCTTGACACGCAACTCGTCCAGTTACCGCCATCTTTAAAACCTCACGAATGGATAAGAGCGAAAAGTTTGGACAATTTAACCGTACGTACAATTAAAAATCTAATTTCCATTAAGTACTATTTCACAATTAAGCTTTACAACTTTAACCTTAATTTAGGCACCCCTGGCAGTATTTATCCCCGATTCGAGGTATCCAGATCTCATCGCCAGCAACAAACATATACTACACAGTCAGGTAATCTTGTCCAACCTGTTATCAATCTTTTTCCAATTTGTGCATAATTTTCTCGATAATACACACGTGCAGTAGTATAAGAAACTGCAACGAGGAAATGATCGCTTAGAAAGAGTCGCGATAGACCCACGATTGATCTCGATCGCGGAACAATTGGTCCAAACGCATATACGCGCTGATCAAGGAGTGGTTCGTTCGTATATCGAGCACGATTCGATTAACACGACTTTCAGTTCGCGCGATGGTTCATTTCCGCGCTAATAAATCTGCAACACTGTGGCCGGGATGGATTGGAAATAAGTGGCGAGAACGGGAATTTCATTTGGAATGGGCGGCAGCAATCTTGGCAAGGCTGGATGAATGTGTATTCGATGAACAAAGCCGGCAAGGGGGCGCAACATCGGCCCGTCATAAATCCGAACGGTACGCACTCGACGTTTTATTAATCATCCCCTGTTTTTTTCGCAGCACGGAAATTATCGGTGTCACCCGCCACGCTTTGCGATTCAATTAATCGAACCGGTCGGGGGTGTCTCTCGTTCTTATCTCTCCGTATAAATTAGAGCCTCTCTGCCTCTATTATTACCACTTTATCATCATTATAGGGATAACCTGTTGTCTTCGTTTGTACGCTTCTAATGTACAGAATTAATATATCCTCGACGAGGAAGATTTATGGATCCTCTTTGTTATGGAAATGAAAATTTCTTACCGAGTACCCTATTAGGAATTTTTCAAAGATCTTTGCTCTATCGAAGGTAAATACATCGTGAGAGTGTACTTTCTGGGAGCCTGGCGCCGGATCGTCGTTGACGATATGATACCGGTTAACGAGAAGAAGTTACCACTTTTACCTAGAACTACAAATGGCCACGAATTGTGGCCCATGCTTTTGTCGAAGGCGTTATTAAAATTGTGTTCTCTCACCTGGACGGATAATCAGGAGATCGTAGACTTTCATCTTGTCGCTTGTTTAACTGGTAAAGTACGAATAATATATAATAGAAAATACGAATCCCTTGTTGTAGATAAAACTAACCTCTGTGTAATTACACGCCTAAAAATATATTCCTAGTTCTCTTACGTGTTATTTATTGCCGTTTTATTACACGTAGGATGGGTTTGTTTGAAGTTGGATATAGGATATCTGTCACCCCAAGACAAATGGGACTTCTTGAGGAAGTACGCGGACCATTTCGAATGGGAAGAGGATGCTGCCGAGCAGGAGAGTCAGGGTTAGTCCCTCGACTCTGGTATTTGTTATTCCTGCGATTTGTTTATAGTCTTAAACCTTTACAAACAGAAGCTTCGAGGTCTAGGAAAAGTAAAGAGGGAAGAAAGTCTAAGGAAACGGGACGAACGAAGAAATCAAAGGATACCGAGCACACGAAAAAATCCATGGACACCGATGACACGAAAAAATTCCCAAAATCCGATCGATCGAAAAAATTGAGCTCCTTCAAAGCACTGATTAAGCCTCAACCTGTTACTCTGTTTCTCGGGTTGGAAGACATGAGCGAGGTTTCTCCGGAAATTGTGCCGGAACTTGCACCTTGCTGGAGCCATTTTATCTACATAGCTCAGTCACGCGATATTCCTTTGGACCCAAAAGACGTATGTTGCACAATTCTTGGAATGCAAGATGATGAATTTAACGTAGATTAAGAATGTTAAAATAAACAACAGGTGAAACCTCCGTTAGCAAGATGGAAACTATATCGTTGGTTAAAATGGGCGATCTGTGAAGGAATAATCGACCCAGTCGAATATTTCGTGCCTATTCGATCGTTAAAAATTGTCAGTCCTTTGAAAAAATGCGAAGAGAGTATAATTAACAAATACAGTACGACGAACGTAGATGAAAGTGTTCAAGATAATACTCAAGACAATACTCGAGACAATGTTAGTGGCGATAAAGCTAAGACAAACGAAGCAACTAAGGAAAACAAATTTTCCGAGAAGTCGAAGGAATCCCACAAACATGTTTCCGTAGAACTGCTGGAGGATATCAGTTTCTGGGCGGATTTCAACAAAATGGAACCCTACATAAAAGACGTCCATTTCTTCTATAAGCTAGACTACTTTCAATACAGCATGAAACTGTCAAATCGTTTCTTAGTCAAACAACCGATCGATCAAAAATCGGAAATGAAGAAGGATAGTAAGAAGGGCAGCAGAAGAAGTTCTCCTCCTAAAATGGCGTTCAAAGATGCCGAATTCATTGACACTTATTGCTGGCCCCAAAAAATGACGAAGACGAGGAACGAGCCGCTCTACATCTTCACCGATTCTTTGGACGAAAAATTCTTTCTGATCGACTTCTCGACGTTCCAAGTCTCAACCGATATCACCGGAAGCGATGACGACGAAATGGCGAATGCCAAGATTAGACTGAAAGGAAATAAAGACTGTCTGAACATAGAGAAGCACAATTTCTTTCGCAGGCCAGAAAAGTGTGGCTACTTGATCTCCATTGTGACTGCTGGGACCAAAGCAACCGTGATGGAAATAGATCGTGGCAGGCATCTCCTACGAGTTTACTGTCATTCGGAGTCTGGTTGTTTCTTGACTATCTCGTCAGACACGGTGTTCCACGTCGGAGACAAGAAGAAAATGTACGAATTAATGTGTACGGAATCCGAGATGGTCGACAAGATGGCGAAACACATCAGCAATTCCCTCAGCAGCGCTTATCAAGCATTCGGTACTCAAAGATACCCAGAGGCCTTAAAGGTTTATTACAATAGCTACTTGCCACCCATCGAGAAACGAAACAAAATAAACAAGATGTTCTACAACCAGATACACGATTACTTTATCGACGAACAAGTGCAACTGATTAAGAAGATCATGCCCGAGGAAGAGGTGCCAGATATTCTGCGATCATTAAGGATATTCTTCGTGAACCATACCATCGGCTTAGAATGTTTCACAGCGATTTCGATGCTGCTAAAGAGCCTGAAAGACTTGAACGTTGGTAAGAACATAATGGAAGATAATAAATCCGAAGATCAGCATTCCACGGATGAAATGGATGGTGACAATAAAGCTGCAGTCGTTATCCAATCATTTTTCAAGATGATCACCATCAGGAAGTACGCACAGATTCATAATCCACGACACGAGCAACACGACGAAATTCTTCAGAATTTGCTCAAAGTCGTGGAGCTGTTCAACTATAACGAACGCGAATCTTTGGCTAACCAGATACTGAGAAATATTCTGAAACACCATGACAAGTTGTACGACATCTACTTCTGCTCCAATGACTTCGAGTATACCTTGCAAACGCAAGAATTGAGAGGTACCTTGACAAACGTCAGACCAAATCAATGGCTACCGATGGTCAGACTAGTGGTGAATCCTCAGGACTCGGAGACAGTTTTCGCTTGTATAGATCTATTCGTTGGCCTACCAAAGTACAGCGTGCGCGTGTTTAAGAACCAGACAGGTAAAGAAATACTGCGGGTGGTGAACAACGTGGTTCCACATCGCTACACGCACGTGAAGCTGGGTTTCACTATTTTCTGTTACGGCTGGAGCGAGGATCAGGCCTCGAGAGAGTTACCCTGGTCATTCCACATTGTCACCATGAAAGGACAGCCGGTGTTTAACTTCCTGATCAACGAGGTGCCATTGACAGCGATTACGACACCGCCTGTATTGCTCATAGAAGAATTATCCGACAACTACATTCCCAATTCGAAAAATTATATCTCCAAGTGGATACTGCGAGCTGTTCAGCCCTGTGTGGTGTCGTTCAGGTTAAGGGTGTCTTATGAGAAAGTAAGAATGACACTGAGAGTGACCGACGAGGAGGACCAGGTGTTGTCCCAGGTTAAAGGAATCTCGGTAGTCATTTTGCCAATGGTGTACCTGGAACTTCGAAGCAAGTCCGAGGAAACCGTGGATGAAACGAAATCAGATATCGGTATTGACAAGCTCGACAAAAGTCGTATGGAGGAAAATTACCCTGACGAGGAAATCGACAATGAAACTAGAAGTAAAGACGATTTGACACCATACAGGGTCTATTACGTGGAAGCATCGGTGCTTGACAACAGCTGGCCCCTGACGAGGAAAGAATGGAGCCTGGTATCGGAGTTTAAGGTGAAACCAACAGGTTCTCTGGTTAAAACGAAGATACCTCCCTTTCCGAGTACAGCGAGACTATCAAAAACGGAGTCGCTCAAGTTGAAGAAAAGTTCGAAGCAGTCTGTCAATAGCGTCCCGGCTCTCCAGTCTCCTTACTGGGTACTCCAAGTGGTCACCGATTCTGGAAGCGGATTAGAGGTACTGTTACTTATTTCGCTGAAACAACGTCGCGAGATAATAATGGTCGGTAACGATGGTCGCTTCTGATCGACAGATATCGCAGGATAGGACAAAGGAGAAGGAGATAGCGCGGATGAAGGAAGCCTGGGCTAAGGAGAATCCCGACAGCCTGCAACGTGGCAGAGAGCTGCGTGAAGCTTTCATAAAGAAACACGAGATGAAACCAAAATCCTTGACAGGTTCGTTGGAAAGGAAAGACTCGAGTCACTCCGAGAAATCGTTGACAAAAAGGGACACGCTGCGATCGTCGATCGTCGACGCATCGGAGATTTCAATGGCTCATTTAGAGGAGAGAACCTTGAAGCCACCTTCGGTCCTTCGTAGACTTCCACCCTTGGACCTGACAATCTACGAGGTGAGAGAGGACGAGGAGGACAAACCGTGGGTGAAGACGGAGCTGGACGAGGATATGCTGAGGAACATTCGTATGATGAACATCATTTACGCCCAGGAGGACTACAAGAACTTCCTGGAGGACCTGGAGAATCTGTACAAACAACAGAAACACCAATACCAGAAGCTGTACGGAAGATACAAAGATTCGTTTCTCACGAGAAGATCTTGGTTCGCAAGCATATGCGAGATTCGAAGGTCCTACATCGGAGGTCCGAGGGCAGAGGCTGTCTCGAACGCAAAGTCCAGGAAGAGCAACAGGAGCAATAACAATACGAAGAGCAAGAAATCCCAGAGGTCTTAAACCACTTAACTTAGAATTAGCTTCGATAGGATGTAATTTAATAATAAGGGAACTACTAGCTAATTATTAACCCTTTGCACTCGACGATTTTTTGACTAGAGACAAGTAGGAATTCAAAGATTCTCTACTAAAAAACTGACGATACCTTTTTGTGCAGTAAGTAAAGAATTATACAATAACAGAATTGTAGAATTATTTGATTTCGATGCCTCGCACACTGTTACATTACACTAAATTTGATATATTAATTAATATCGATCTTCCAAATTTGATGAAATGGTGACTGAAGCACACCTCTCGAGTGCAAAGGGTTAAAAATCAAGGCAATTAAGTGTGTACAACGAATCGCGTGTTACGTTACAACAGGAAAACTACTCGAATAAAAGTATCCAAGCTCGTAACCTCGTTTTTGTACAACGTATACGTACACGCAGAGTGTTTGAAAAGAAGGGTCCACCATTTTCTAAAATTCGCAATCCAATCGAGATAGACCCTAAAATGAATCCCCTCCGAAGTGAGAGATTAACGTTCATTATTAAATTAATTTTAGAAATTGTTTCGCAAATACAATCTCTGGGATAGTACCATAAACCCCAAGGCCCTGCGACTCATTTTTCTGTCATCAACGCTTCCACCATCTTTCGAGAATCTAACTCGACGAATACTCGGAATACTCGTTGCTGGTACGAGCTTCACTGGAAAATAACGACTTCATCGACCGATTCTCCAACCCTTCGAGATTTCCACGAATATCAACACCCTGTATAAGCCTGTTCTCGTCGCAGCAACAGTTTCCGCGGCTTAAAAACCCGTGAAATATCTAACCAACGGCAGCATACATTGCCATTTACATATTCACGATTCCGCTTGGCAAAAAGTGTCTCTAATTACCGCTTGAACCCTGTCCTTACTAATCGCTCGAACCGCCAGCGTCATGCATATTCCGGTGCAGCGACATTCCTCGCGCGGATTCCACCAGCTTCGCCGGTGAGTTCTCCGCGAAACGAAACGATCCGCGTATTACGTTCTAAACGATAGCGATCGATGATTCAGCGGGGTGCTTTTTAAGCGGACGCGATTTTTCACCGGCGTTTATCTAGATCGGGGGTCGGTCAGGGACACGTTCGGCGATGCAGGTTCCTCTGAGAGTCGGGAACTCGAACAGAAGTGGATGTTTGCATACTGGGGACCGGTAGCCTGTGGTGCATCGCGAGGAGAGGACCGTCGACGGGGCACCTTTTAATGACGCGTTCCCCGCTCGCCTCTCTGGGAAAAGAAAAGCACGCTGATCCGTTCCGTTCATTTTTCATCCGGGACCAGTCCCGTCGTCTAGCAAGATTATTACAAAACTGCGCGGGGAAGAGGTCTAGGTTAAGCGCAAGAACAGGTACAGCGTTGGCGAGCGACGTCCATCGTGGCGTGCTTTTATCCTCCGTGTGGGTTAATGCGCGGGACCTTCGCTATCTCCTTTTCTCATTTTATTTCCAATTTTACGCGTGCATTTTTTCCCCCTTTCTTTGTCGCGTACGCGCGTATTAAGAGTAAAGAAGGTCTCGTAAATAGGTCCATCGCTTTCTCCCTTTTTGTAAAGTCTATAGGATCGTGCTAGTTCATCACGTTCGAAATCGTGATCGCTAGTTCTCTATAAGTTGGTTCTTGCCGTACAAATTGATCGAGAGAAGGTGTAATGAAGAGGTGAGCCGGAGGAGGTGTGTCGCTTCTACGTGGGGCAAGTTTTTATTCGCGACGGGGTAAAAACAGGGTGGATGATGAATCGGTGCGCGATTCATTTCTAGCGTTTTGTGCAACTTGTTCGTTCGCTCGGCTCTGTGTCTAATGAGGGTATATCGCGTATCTTAATTTGCTTAAGAAGTTCGCAGGAAGCTGTTGCAAATCTCTCGCTGTAAGCGATCAACATCCTATGACGTTTAGAACGGCTATTTATCTGTAATCGGAGATACGTATAATTACTGCGAGGAAATAAAGCGTGTATAGTGGCAACTCTAATTCGACTAAGAAATTGATCGACCCGATTGTCGGGAATTTTTAATCGAGTAATTCGGTCGATTGATAATTTAAGACGCCTTTTTGAAGAATCGGACACGGGTCTTTTACGATTGCATCGAGGTATCGCTTAACGATTCATTAAATCCGAGCCAGGAGGTTTCATTGAAACGTTTACAAAACACGCTGTACACCGGTGCAACGTGCGCGTTGATTGCAGGTGCATGCACGTTGCATGCTATTCGCTGGTGCGAAGCATTCACGGGCAGCAGCGCGTCGCCTGGTCGGCAATCCTGTGATCACTGTCGATCGTGTTTGTTGGCCGATCTCGCGTGTCGTCGAACGAATTAACGATCAGGGCGGCTTCCATAAACTACCGACGCCAATTCACCTGGTAAATATCCGACTCACGTGCGTCTACAGTTTACGCTGCGACTCGCGTTACGTGCAAACGTTGCACGGGCTTGAGATTTATAAACAGGGCTATGATAATATCGGCTGGTACGTGGTTTGATTTAATGGGGATGCGGATAAAGTAAATGGAGAAAACGGAGATCGATTCCGGGAAGGATAATTCGAGGAATCCAGTTTTTAGCAGATAAACCTGTGTTTTCTGAATCGAAGGAACGAAGAAGAGGTTAGGTTCGGCGGATTGTTTCGCATCATCGTGACTTTTAGTTCGGGACCGTCCTTGGGATCGTTCTTGTCACTCTCCGCCATCGTCGAAGCTTTCAGAAGTCCCTCCGGTATCCCGGGAATATCTTTGATCGTGTTTGCAACTTGCGAGGAAATTTAAGTTCGCTTTATTTCGCAATTTCGCGTATCTCGATTGCTCTCGTGTCGCAATTAACGTCGTTAAAGTTATATCGATCGAGTTCCCGCGATATCCCGAGAGTATCGCTATGTTTATCGTTGCCTCTGTCGGTTAATAAAATAATAAAACCGGAAGCAAACGGCAATAGACGTAGGATGCCAAAGGAACTCTTTCTTTATCGAATCGTTTATTTCCAAACATCCTTGTCGATGAACTCTATTCCAATTCCCTAGTTCTAAAGCTACTAGAATGTTTGCAGTCATAAAACGCGGCACGGTGACGTTGGTTTAACGCTTTCGCGGCAAATGAAGCGGCCTCACAATCAGCAAAGCTTCCCCGTGCTTATGCGATCGCTCGTTTCTCGTTTTACGGCCGCTAAACGGGCCACTGGCGAGGAAGAAAGGGGAGAGGGAAAAAAACAGGGAAAAAGAACAAACGCGGCCGTCGTTAATCATCGTTGATCCCGCTGGAGAGTCGCGACTTGCATTAGAGACGGCCGACAATTTTCATCGTCGTCGCTCAAAATCGCGGCCGCCGATCGGAAAATCGCGCTTTACGAGCCGTTGTTATCGGAAATTTCTCGCTGCTGGAAGCCGCAAAGGCTTGGCTACGCGATTTATGCGTCCCCTTTAGCTCTCTGTGTCATCTTTCGCCCATTCTTTCCCTTCGCCAACGCTCGGACTGCCTTAAGCCCCGTACGTACTTCGTTAGACCGCCAACTTCTACCGATGCCTTCGAAACAATATTTTGCAGACCCCGTTGCGTGAAATTTTTGTCTATCTTACACCGAATTCCTAGGACACGCGACGAACACGAAATGTCCTTAAAGTGGAACTAGTTTCTCGATTCTTCGTGGTCCAAGCGTGATCGGGGCTTAAGGCTCTAACTCTAGAGGCGCGAACTCTGCGTTCTTTCCAACTAATTGCTGATTTTATTGCACGAGTATTTCGATGGCTATAAATTTCAATCGATATATCGAACGTCTGTACGCTCTTCTGTTTCTCTTTACAGTTCTTTCAACGCACGTACGTTCGAGATAGGGAAAATAAAATTAAGATTTTAACCTCGCGGATGACTTTCGACCGCGAGTTTACCAACAGATAATGCCGCAAGAAGGAAAATAAGGAAGTCGTGTTTCATCCCGAAGTTAACTTTTTAACCTGCGTGTCAAGGAAACTCGGTGGTTCTGCATCTCATTGTTATCGTCGCCACCCGCATATAACTTTAAATGGGATTACGTAAGAGCAGTAAAGGGAACGATAAAATCGTGCGCCGCCAAGAACGACGTTGCCCCGAAGGTTTGGATTTTTCTACGCGATGTGGGTCGGTCGGGAAAGAAAGAATGCATCGACGGTTTCCGAGCACTCGTTGCATCGCGTGCGATTTGCAATCGGCACGCGAATCTAACGCGCGATAAATCGTCCTGCAATGAAAATGACCATTTTGTCGTGCTCCAGTTTATTCCTCTCTTTTTTCCCCGTCGAATATCAGCATCGAGCGATCAACTATGACAATGGATGTTTTTCATCGAAATGACCGGAAGTGACGGCTTCTTAACACGCTTACTGGTTCAGAACGCAGAGGCCAATGTCGTTCGCGTTGCTCAATCGAAGCTCGAGCATCGCTTGATAACGACCATACCTCATTGCGAAAGTTGCTTTAATTAGAACGCTTCGAACCTTTAATGCTTATGACGTCATTCACGCCTGTTACATCTTCGAAATGAGATCTTATCCCAGCTGCAGCGATTAATCTGCGAAATTTTATACGTCAAGTCGAGTTATATTCCATACTCTTCGATCCCACCATTTTCTCGAAGAATTCAACTGTATTTCACGTTTCTTTGTATTTCGAAAACAAGACATTCGAGGAAGACATCCGATACTAACTAAGGATAGACTAACCATGGTCTCCGAAACGTAACTCTAGAAACGAAATAAAAATTCCAACACTGTCAAAGTCTCTATCCTAATCTCGCCTCTGCGCACTGTCAAAAGACTCAATTTCGAAACTTCTCGGCCACTGCTTCCTCGAGGAAGCACGAACATCAAAGAAAAATTTCAATTCTCAGACCTACGCCTCCTCGTCCCAAATCCCCCGAAGCTTCCCTCCTCCCCCGTGCCACAGAATCCAATTCACACGCGTGAGCCGTGCAATTTCATCGACTCGTGGGATGCCAGAAATAAAGACGGTCCCCGCGTCTCTCTCTTCTCGCGATCTCTTCCCGGTTCACCGAAATTTCACGATCCTCTTCCATCCGTTTCTCGAATACCCGACGGCGGGTCCGACTCGCGCGTCCACGCGTGCCCGTACACGCGTGCCGCGTGCACATTCGTGAACGTGTTGACAGGGCCGAAGAAAAAGAGACGGGGTGGGACCACGTCGGTGTTCTCCTCTCGGTGTGCTCCGGCCGTCAGCTGGCCGCGAGCAGAGGGGAAAGGACGCGTGGAGGGAAGGAGAGGCGAGCGAAGACGAGAGAAGAGAGCCTCTTCTCTCCAGATGAGCCCTCTCTCGGTGTGGCTCGTTCACAATCTGCTCCAGTCTCGCGTCGAGTCCCGTCGCCGCATCTTTTCGGGGCTCCATCCTTCGCTGCTGCTCAGCGGCTGGCCATCAGCGTGCAACATCGGCGTGAAGTGCTGAAGAAAATCGAACTGTTCCGTCTTCTGCTCGCCCTTTCTCACCTGGTCGAGTCTCGCGCCGAGTCGTGGCAGGATTAAAGGGATTCGACGTTTCGCTCGAGTAGTCCGCGAGACCTGGACACCATCCGGGAGATCATCCTCGGGCAGGGTGAACAGGTGACGCACGTCGGGGTGCGAATCAGGGAACCGGTGATCGGATATCGTTGGAGGGATTGTACGGAACGGATGGGTGAAACTGGGACCGAGGCCTGGCAGTGAATTTTGTACGACGATCGGTTGCTCGTTGTGGAGTAATGTTGATGGTTTCGTTGACAGGTATGGCGATAAGTAGAGATTAATTACAGCGCTCGTGACGGAGGTGTTGGAAGATACGCTGTTGTTGGAAGTTCCTTCGATGGCCTGTTCCCTCGCACTGTCCGTTTCGTGCACGACTCGGTCTCGTTATCTGCGTTAGGCTGCTAGGCTAAAGAGGAGTGCGATCGAGGCTAGCTTTGAAGTCGAAGCTGCGTCGTGTTAATTTCGTCGAGAGGCCCGTGAGAATGTTCTTCGAAACGAGTCCGATAAGCAGTTTAATACGGAAATTACTATCCGTTTATTCCACTTTTATCGCCAGCTCTGCGTAATTTACCGAACGTCGGCTGGCCGCTCGATAAATCGAATAGATCGTGCCTGATCGAGCGAGCGCGACGATTAATCATCGTTCGATCCACGACGTGCAACGGGTCCTCGATTTTCGTTTTTCCGCGCGAATTATTAACAACGCGTTAATTACTAATTACCAGAGAATTCGTGGTGGATAGGCCGCCGATTCGTTATCCCGTTTCCCTCGCGCAAATAAACGATTAATAGACGCGTTTATCAATCCGCTGCCCCCCGTTCTCGTCGTAATAGAACGTGCGAACCAGACTGATCTCTTTTTGCACGAGTTTTGCACGAGCATACCAGGCTTTATGGAACTTTAATGATAGCCTCTGCTCGGTCCGCTTTTACGTTATGATAACGAGTGAAAGCGGGAGTGTGTATCTGAGCGCGGCGAATTTCCGAGCAACGTGTGGCGTCCATTCGAATCAAAAAAAATTTCCCTTTTTCCACGGCGAAAGGCCCTTTCGAGGCTAGAGCGGGATCTCGATTAATAAATGGACGGTGGTCGAGCGGAATTCTCGTTGGAAACTCTGTGGTTTCTTCCTAGGGAACCGTTCGCTAGGAACATGATAAATTATAATAAATAGTAAAGTCGAATTTTTCTTAACGCACACATCGTATGGACTGGTTTTCTTGGCAAACGTGACGTTTCAAACATTCAAACGGGTGCTGGAATTCGAAATTTATTTTTAGATACAAAAAAAATATATATATACATATATATTTAGATATAGATATAGCGAGGACGAGATTTGCTTGCCACGAAATAGCGCGGATTTCGTTTCGAATTACGACTAACGTTGAATCTAAATTCGTAATCGCTTTGATCACTTGTCTTAAAAGAGGAGAAAAAATGGAATAAAAGAAAGTATCGGATAGTTCATTTATCGATCCTTTGACCAAATCGAAATAAATTGTTTCAGATTCCTGGTTTCATTTTTTAGCGTTTCGTCGTGTCGTCTTATATTCGAGCAGGGTCGCGATTGTACTCGATTCTTTGTTCTTATAGTAGCGCTTCGATTATCAGGGATAGCGTGCGTTATACGTAGGCTCTAGCGTTAATTGTGTCATCGTTTCTGCAATATTAAATGGCCTGGAAATGAATTTCGTAGTTCCAGACTGCCATCCGTTTTGACGGAGGAACAGCTATTGTGAATATTTATATCAGAAGATAGTTGCATCTATCTCATCGTACTAATTTGGTGCTTCCGGAAAGGCGTCATAGCCAGCGCGGAATCGCGACAATTATCGCCCGTTGTCTCCTCGCGCAGTTTTCGCTGTCCGGGAGATCGAAAACGAAACATAATTTCCAGAAACGCGAGCCCTTTCTCACCGATTCCACGAACTTCCAGCAACAGCGACATCTTCGCGCGACCCACCCTCCGGTTTATCACCGTACCCCGAAAAATATAAAACCGCGGACAATTTGCAAGACGACTACTTCGAGAGCTCTCGAAATTCCCTCGAAACTTAAGAGATTTAAGAGCGAAAAACAGAGAATTTCAATCGAGATTTCTTCATCCCCCAAAGCTCCCCGACGAATCGAGAAATCTGCCCTCTGGAACGGAGACGCGTCGATCGCAGAGTCCCGAGCGCGTCAGGTTACCCAGCATCCAGTAGATCGGGAACCATGATCGTGGAACCGATCGCGGTGTCGATCGCGAGCCGGCGTTGAAATCTTCTCTAAGCCAGCCAGAGAACCGAGACTTCGCGTGATCGTGGATCGATCATGAGACGAGAGTAACGCGGATCACGCGTCGCTGACAGTCAACAGTTTTGTCGCGTTCGACGAGACCCCCAGCCGATGATGCCGGCCGCCAAAATGTCGAACGTGGCGTTGGTCCTCGCCACCTGGCTGCTGCTGCTGCTGCTCGTTCTCCGTGGTGTGTCGAGCACGGGACAACGCTACACCACCAGCCCGGCCCAGGATCTGGATAACACCCTGCAATCGGTGCCGCCTCTCGGGTGAGTATCGAGTTATAGAGCATCCCTGAAACCGTGAAACGCGAGCCGGCCAATCTGCGGCTGGCCTCTCGATCCCGAGATATCGCGAACCATCGCGGTCGCGAACCGTCGCGGGACAGTAATTTCAGTCAGGTGTGATCACTAGGGATGAGCCGCGGCTTTCTTGGAATTTTAGGCTGGTCGGCAGGCTTCTTTTTAGCGGTTCTTCATCCACAGGATCAGGCTCTTTCGACTCGGCAATGGCCGAATGCGTATCGAGTGTCCGGGGGGAAGACACGATAAGTCACGGTTTACGTTTTTTACGATTTTTACATTTTCGTTATCCTTCTAGTCGAAGATGCGGTACTAGTAAGATAGATTCCTGGTTTTTTGACAAATCACCTAGATCTATCCGGTATTCTAATTCCTCTCGGTGATACTTAACACTTTGCACGCGGGCACGGTTTTCCAAGTTTTTGAACGTGCAGCGGGCAAATCCAGCTTCACCGCGTACTAGTCAATTGGATAATTTACGAAATCGCGCGAATCCATTTTCAAAATGGGTGAAATACGATAGAATAAAACACGAGTGAAAACTGATAGAATTAACCCTTTGCACTCGGCGATTTTTCGTTACAGGAAAATAGTAATTCGAAGATTTTCTGCCATGAAGTCTAGGATATTTTAAAAACGGTAAATAAGAAATCGTATGCAAATTAATAAGTAGAATTATTTTATTTCGACATTCCACGTATCGTTGGCTAATTTTAAATTTGGTATATTAATTAACACCGATCTTTAGAATCTGATTACATGGTGACTGAGAGTCACCTCTCCAGTGCAAAGGGTTAAAAAATAGGATAAATTAAAGCGCAAGTTCCTTCAAAGTCACAAAATGCAGTTCATTGCAGTCTAGCGCGCATCTGAGATTACAGTCTCTTGCTTTTAACGTTTGTTCCTTTTCAGACTGTGATCACAGTCTCCCGCCAGCAATGTGTTAATCTGACAACTGGCAAATTAAATTGGTCAATTCTTTTGGAAATATTTAATTGAATAATTAGACGCGACAATTTGTACTCCCCTTCTGCTGTACGTTAGAATAGTCACCGACTAATACCGAATAAGAAACGAACAAGACTTATCGCGTTTTCTCCTGTGGTCTCGGAAATAAAAATGATAAAAACGCGAAAGACATAGAATACTCGTGGAGTGTTCAGAGAGAAGATGGTATCGGTGTGAAAATTCATATTTCCGAATAATATTGGTATTAATAATCGGAAAATGTAAGACGGTAGACGGTGACTGAGCGGTTTATCGAGGATCGAAGCCACGAAGCGGATTCGAGATGGAACTCTCACGCGGCGAGCGTGGTAGACGTTTGACAGGTCCCCGAGTTGCGGACGTGGGAATGTCAGTGATAAAGCTGTTTTCAGCTCGTTTCTATTTTTACTTGCCGGGGGACAGGAACGTAATGAAATCGTTCCAACAAGGAACTTTCTGCTCTGCTCCCTTTTTTCTCAGTTTGAGTGACGTAACGCCGCGCGTCTTGGCCCGACATAACGTTTATCGCGTTTCCCCGTGTCCCTTCTCCGATTCGGCTGGAAGACGCGCCGCGGAAGCTGTCCGTATTTTTCTTCTTCCGTGATTTTCCTGCCGACGCCACGTAGCTTTCCGTTCGCGTCTTGCTCCTCGCGGATAAGTTTATTTTGCAAATTCGCGACGCGCTAATATCGTGAGAATGACTCGCGCTGATTTTCTTCGTTTTTTAATTAGAAACCTCGCCCCGAGATCAAGGAAAGTGCAAAGATCACAGCCGCCTCCGAGGAGGCGGATCGAAAGAAACCTAGCAAAATACGTAAGACGATAAAAAGCGACTGCGGCCCCTTATCAATCGTGAACGGCCGATCTTGATGCAATCCCGAAATATAAAATGTCGCAAACGTGCATGCAGTTGTGCAACCGAACACTCGCGATACGGTGCCCGACCCTGGGATCAATTAACCGATTACTCCGAGAACGGAAGAGTTGGAAAAGTTGGAAAACTCTCACCTTAGGAATAGTTAAGATCAGCAACGTCGAATTGGAGCTAAACCTATCATGAATCGAACGATGTTATTCCTGACTGTCAATTATGACACTTGACTGCACGAATTACCTTATTACGACACCTGCATCATCAACTTTTCGATATCCGTGTCTTCTAAGATTTATATGCAGTCCGATTCATCGATTGGAACCGACTGTTTGACCGGTCATTTAACCAGCCCTCGAAGAACACGACGAGGAGCAATCGTGGCTCGGAATTTAGGTTCCACGCGAGCTTCCAGAATTAATTCGTAATTCTCTCGGCTTTCCCGCAATAATTAAAAGGCACCGAAGAACGATCGACAGGTCTCCTTCCGAATGATCCAGCGAGGATCGCGAATAATTACTCACGACGAATTACGCTCGGTTGCTCGAAGGTCAATCTAGCGAGAAGTGGCTAACTCGCCGCGTGACGAAGGCCTCCTGAGAAGCGTTCCCAGGCGAATCCGTGAAAAGCGTTTCCGCATTGAAGCTCCATGGTCAATTGGGCCTAATGGACGGGTAACGATGGTCCATCATCCGTTTGGTCTCGCTTGGAATCGCGACTGCACGAGGGAAATCGACGTAGGAAACCTTGCCTATGGTGGTGCGACAGAGATGCGCGAGGGAAAGGAGGAGAGGAAAAATGAGGATTGAACGGCGAACGCGTAACGTAACTCGCAGATAACCCAATTAGAGGAGTTATCGCGGGCGTTTCGTGGCGTCGCTGCGCCCGAAGCGGATCTGACAAAATCTGCGATTTCGCAAAATCGACGCGATAAGTCCAGTGAATCGTCCCTAGTCATTCGTTTTTTCTCCCCACTTTTCTCCCCAAACGTCGTTTCGTTCCCTCGAACACAGCCTCTGATCGATTTTTACGGCACCTTTTCCTCCTCGCGATACTTTAATTATCTACGTGCGAAATATCTGAGTTAGGTACGCGTTGCTCTTTGGAAGTTCTAGTGTTAACAGTGAACGTATCACAGCGAACCTATCGAACGCGTGCTTTTGACGTTATTAACGTTGACAGGATTCTAAGTAGGTTGAAGGCGATTCCGATTTTTACTTCGCCTGTCAATTTTTGTTAGAATGTAACCAAGTTTAGCAAAATCCTGCTCTAATTTTACAATCCGTAATAAGATTTGCATACAGCCTGCTCCACCGATCACGACCAATAGTCTAACCGCTAATGTTGCCATAGAAATCGCATAAATCTGCGGGAAATGAAGTAAACGCGTGTAAAGTGGCAACTGTTTCCAATAATTCTCCCTCTATTAACCAATTCTCACCGCATCCACGAAGAAGCAAGAACAACAACGTTGACCACTATTCTCGCGAGTTGGTGAAAAATGGAACGTCTTCCTGATTACCCGACACACGATCCCAGCAAGAAGAAACGGGTGGCACGAAAAAAGGAAGGTATCGATCGGTGATCGGAATGCCGGCGCAAATGGAAGCCGGTGACGGTTTATTATACAAAAGCCTCCAACTGACGGTATTAGCCGGGCCCGGCGGAAAAGTATTGGACATTAGCGAGGGTATCGTATAGCTGGGGGAGCAGAGGAACTAGTTTGTTACGGTAAAAGATTCTTGGCAGCTCGGTGCACGCGATAGTGGCACCGCACGGGATCTCTGCCGGCGTCGCAGCCGGTGCATCTCGGATGCGGGAAATAAGTAAAATCGGAATAACGAGAGTCTCGTGATTTCACTTAATACGGGACATTAGCCGAGGCGATAACGTCAATCCAGCCGGTGGTTTTACGAACGAGGTTGTTGCCGTTCGTCCAAACCGCCAGAAAAACTCCACCGCATCGTGGCCCTTCGAATTTCCCGCCAATTTTAACCTCCATTTTAACCTGCTCCCAAACAAATTAACGCCAGGTCAACGCTAAACGAGTTAAGCCAACCTAACTCAATTTGACGCGATTGGTTGGAATATTTGTATCCCCCCTTCCCCCATTAATCCTGTTATTATTTTTCCGGGAAAATAGGATTACGAAAATATCGTTCGAGTTGTCAAACGATGCTTCCTGTCGCGGTCGTGATTATCGTTTCCTGGTATTTTCTATATTTCGTAGGGTACTGTGTCATAGTAGAGAGACACGGAACTAATGACAGGTGACGAGACATCCTCCACGGCGTGTTATTCGGCGAAATCGTGCGGTAAATTCGAGTCCATCAGAGAAGATCACGCGACGATCGACCCTGAGAGGGAAGGCCACCGAAAACCGAGAGAATCGGTCGAGGAGTAGAGCGTCACGCTCGGTCAACTTTTTCATTAATAAAGACGCATTAGCCGGTATCTTGTCACGGCCAATTAGAAGCACGTTTCACGTGACTCCACCTAACCATTGACGCTCAACTGCGCCATTAATACCGTCACATCAATTATCGTTCCTCGCGTGGAACGCATCGCGGGCACTCAATTAAAGCGTAGGAAGAAAAAGGATTCGCCGATAGGATTATTCCACCTGCTCCCGACATCCAACCCCTTTTCATTCCTCGATCGTAGAGTTGGAAAAGTTGGAAAACTCTCACCTTAGGAATAGTTAAGATCAGCAACGTCGAATTGGAGCTAAACCTATCATGAATCGAACGATGTTATTCCTGACTGTCAATTATGACACTTGACTGCACGAATTACCTTATTACGACACCTGCATCATCAACTTTTCGATATCCGTGTCTTCTAAGATTTATATGCAGTCCGATTCATCGATTGGAACCGACTGTTTGACCGGTCATTTAACCAGCCCTCGAAGAACACGACGAGGAGCAATCGTGGCTCGGAATTTAGGTTCCACGCGAGCTTCCAGAATTAATTCGTAATTCTCTCGGCTTTCCCGCAATAATTAAAAGGCACCGAAGAACGATCGACAGGTCTCCTTCCGAATGATCCAGCGAGGATCGCGAATAATTACTCACGACGAATTACGCTCGGTTGCTCGAAGGTCAAT